GTTCTCCGCTCTCAACGCTCGAAAGATGGGTCACGATTTTACTGGCCATCGATCTCTGGCACAGAGTATGGACAGTTGTTTGCTTGACGTTTATTATCGATTCTCGCGTGTGTGCATGCTTCTCTGTCTCATTCGCTTTTACATTGTGGGGAAACGTTTCCCCATTGAAAATGTCAGAGAACGGTTTTCTCGGCAACTATTACGTTCTTCTCTTTTTTTTTTTTCACGTGGAAATGAAAAGTGAATTTTTCATAAGGAACAGGCTTTATCAGACTCAACCATTTGCAAATCAAATTTGCTTTCTTACTCAATGCTTTCCACTGTAATAAAAGTAAAATTCGACGTGAAAATTTCATTGCACGTGTGTAATAATGGTTGAAGAGGAAATTACATGAAATAAAGTATTCATTTAACTCTGAAAGTACTTATACACACACGTGTAGTTTTATACATATATTCGTATAATAACGATGATACAATCTGTAAGAGTGAGTTGCAATAGAATGATTAATAACGTCCATTAAATATTATATATGGTTTGAAGCATCAGTCAAAATATATCTCGAGCAGAATTTAATTTTTGAAGAACTTCTTCAACAGGGATCTCGTTATTGGAGATCCTCCGTTCCAAAATAAGTGTCCCATTTACAAATGACGTTTCTTGGTAATACTTGGTTAGAGCGTAATCTATCTTTGGCAAAATGTGGTAGCTCGTAATCATTTCCTCTTTTGTGAAGCATACGTTCTAATTTTTTTGAAAGTCCTTATTTGTATTTGCGTAACATTTAACCTTAATACGATGAAAGTACATAATGTGGATATTTGTTTTGGAACGAAGAGAGTGTGGTAAAAATAGTAAGATCAATTTGATTCGCAAAAAGATGAATATCAAGCAAAAGGAAGTGGAAAGCCCAAAATATATATATCGATCACGATTGATACATGCTTGATCTCGTCGCTAGTTGCATGGGTTAACCCTTTAAGCGTTTATGTCGAGTACACTCGTCATAAAACGTAGAAAAAATTCACTTTTGTTATTTATTGTAAAATTTAGGTGAAAAAATTATGCATATCTGTAACTTTAGCACATTTTAGAATATTCTAGGGCAACGAAACGATCAAAGAAAGTGTGCGGGAACTTGAAAGTAATTGAGAATCGTTGCAAAAAGCAAATTAAATTGATCTCTAATCATTTTTTCAATGGTTTTCTTCTGGTGGGATAATTTTCAAAAGATAAAATGTTAAATACCAATGAAATTAAAAGCTTTTCAAAGAAACATCAAAAAGAAAGAAAAAGTATCATTTCGTTATAATTTAACTCAATCTTACAGCAAGTGCGTTTACTGAGTGTTTTCGTCGAGAAGTGATTAAGCAGACCATTACAGTGCAGATTTGCAAAGTGCTTTACAAAACGCTCGAATGCCAACATTTCTTCTGCTTCGACGTTTGCAAGTGTACCCACCTCGTTGTTGAGAAATATAAAGTACATCTGTATGAAGATGAACGCCATCCTAGTGGCCGGCGTGAGGGCGAGCATAATGTTGTGGCACTTGGTGTTCTGCTCGAGCTCGAAGTACTGGCCAAACTCCAGGCCCGAGTAGATCATCGAGCCGATACCGAACGCCACCGCGCCCATTCGCAGGTAAAAGCTTCCGTAGTGTTGGATCGGCCTGACGGTGGTCATGTGCGGGCACGCGGTATCCGCGGCATCGCTGTCGCCACCGGCGCCGCTAGACGATCGCGACGAGTCCAGGTCGCACACTTCGTCCTTTCGTTTCTCTTCTCATGCAAATTCATGGTAATCGGCCGGTTAAGATTAATGCGATTTTAAGCACAATGGGGGCCCGCAGGGCCTCGTCGCTTCCCGTTCAAACGGCATTAAAGGTAACTATCGTAACCCTTTAATGCCGCGCTCTAGTAACACACTGCCGATTCGTCCGCATCTGTTTCTTTCGTGTCTTTCGTGCCTTTGACTGGACAGATTTATTCTTGTCAATGTGCCATATCGACGTTTAACAGGTTAAACGCCGAGCTATACTTTTGTTCTTTAGCATTCTTAAAATTCGAACTTCTCTCGGTCTTTTTATTTATTTTTTTTTTTTTCAACAAAATTTAAAATTTCCTTTGAATTTAAAATTTCTTTTTATTATCGAACAATCTTAATTTCCCGTATCGGGATAATCCATTTATTTTATACCGTCAGCCATCGGTCGCCGACGTGGCGTTTAACGTGTTAATCGTGCTTTGATGTGAAATTAACCTCTTCAGAGATGCTGACGCATGTGCGCGCGCTTGGTTCTCTCTCTCTCTCTTTTTGAATTAAAATTATTCTAAGTGAGAAAGAAAATTATAATCCATCGCAGAAACAATTGGAAATCAAAAAAATCTTGCTGTCGTAATCAGAGATTAATCAAATCACTTTTTCTTCGCTTTGAAGAAAAGTTCGTCCCCGAAGAGGTTAAGAGACCAGGCACGTTTAAAGCAGCCCGATTTTTTCGCGAATCGCGATAAACACGCTAGACGGCCTAGATTAGTAAATCATAATCTTGTGCAGAAAGGAATTACCTACTCATAAAACAACACGTGGCCGACCTCCCTGAAACGTCAAGTGGATCGTGTTCAATTCTGGCCGTCGTCTGAATCCCGCGTCGTCGTGGATGTAAAGAAAAAGAAAAGGAAAAAAAAGGGGGAAAAAACGAAAGAGAAAAACACACACACACACACACACAGATGAAGAGAGAATTTCTGACGGATCCGACTTACTTGACTTGGGTTTGTCGTCGTGAAGCAACGTGGCGTACATGTAGACGAGGAAGATCATGCTGCCGAAGTAGAGGTAAAGGTAGAATCCTTCGTAGAACGACGGCGGTATGTAGGTGGATATCACTTCTGCCATGGGAAAAGCGATTCCCATGACGACCAGCAGCTTCCCGTAAAGGGCGCTGAAAGTCGTCGCCAGGGCGTCGCTGTGCAACAAAACGGAAATTGCGTGCGTGAACGTGAGCGCCCGCCGCGTTTTTCGCCCGTTCGATTTCTCTCCGCCGAGGAAATTGGACTATTTCCGGCGCTACCTGTTGTTTCGACTTCGACTTGGAGCGTCCAGTCCCGATCGCCCCACCACAGTAGATCGCGTGGGTGCGTGTGCATCGTAGAGAAAAGATTCGCGAAACGAGAAACGTGTGAATCGTTCTTCTCATTGAAAAAAAAAAAAAAAA